TGTCTCTCTGTCTCTCTGTCTCTGTGTGTGTGTGTGCGCGTGCGTGTGGACACGTGTGGCTGTGTTGCGAAATCATGAAAGGACGATGCAGGGTTGCCCCCCGTGAGGCAGCTCACCCAGAGAGACACAAACGCACACTCGCTCGCTCTGTCTGTCTGCTGGCACGATAGGCGTGAAACGCCTACCTGACCGTAGCCCACACCGCCCGGTTGCCCACCCATCCCCCCATCCCCCTTGCCAGGCTGCGGCCGGACTCCAAGTCATTCCTGCTTGGAGCTGAGTTCGTCTTTGGCCGCTGTTCAGACATCCTGCATGCAAAGAAAAAAGTCGAGGCCGCACAGGTCTCGTATTATAGGCCAGGTGCGAAAAGAAGCCGACGTTGTTCTTGTGCCTTGTCGGCGCCATCATCGCGGAAAGCAGGATCGGCCCAGTGCGCACCTAGATCCGTTCTTGGCCACTGTAGCAGACTTTTCAAGTCTCGACCATGGCCTTATATACTTCAAACTACACGCATAACTTGCTTTCGTGTGACTCATCGGGTCCTGCTGACCGGCGTCTTCCTGCAGCAGCCTTCCGAGGCACTGACAACCAGAGCGATACACAGGCGGCCTGGCTGCTGAACCCCGTGCTTTTGGATCTCGGTCAATGGGACTGCTTCGGCCCCGCCATGCATATGTACTTCACTACTTTATGCACGGGCTCCTGGCTTGCGTCCCACTGCTTCGATCCAATGTCTTTGTTGTGTAACTGTCTATATGGATACTATTTGTTGTTGTTCGATCTGAAAGAAGCGAAAACAGCACGTTTTTTTCCATTCCATCACGGTGTCCATCCTCTTGGCCACTTTCGGTCACATACAGGCTTGAGGCTTTAGGCTTTACGGCTTTTTAGGCTTTAGGGTCCAGGACGTGTGCGAGCATTATTTCGGCATCATCAAGTCAAATACCGGCTTGAGTGCTGTCTAGGGTTTAGGGTTTAGGGTCTAGGATGTGTGCGGGCCGCGCTGCGACAGCGAGTATCGTCCATCGGCTGCCGACAGTGGGCGGCAATCCTGTCGACGCAGCAACTTCACCTTTGGCAGTCGGCAGGCCAGGAAGCTCTCGGTCCCGGATGCGAAGAAACTATCCACGTGGGAGGGTCTGAGTGCTGATGATATGACCCGGGTCAGCCGTGAGGCCTTCCAGACTGTGTGTCGATTCAAGGTCGTCAGTCACCTCCGTCAACCGGGACTCGGAAAGCTTGGCAACTGGTCTGCAGGCTTGGTGGCAGATCTCCGGCAGAGCCATGGTTGCTACATGCTTGAAGCAAGCCCTTAGGCGACTGCCTTGATAACGAGGACGGCTCCGATGCCGGCGATGTCGTGCCCGACGTCCAGGATGAGCCCATCGATTCTGAGGACGTGAAAATGACATGGTCTTGCCTCCAGAACACTGCTGAGCTTGCAAGTCCACGACAGCCCCAGAATCCAACGGAGCATTCCGATCCGCCCAGTGCCTTAACGCCAGGTGAGACCGCCGATGACGACCCTTTGCAATCCGAATGCTGCACACTCCAACAAATCTTGGTCAAGCATGGCCTCCAAAACTACAAGCCCGCAGATGCCGACGACGAGGATTGCATGATCCTCCTGCATGCTCCTCCGCCTGCGCAGGATGCTCTCCGACATGATGCATGTGGTGACCGCTTGCCGGCTAGGGGAAGGCTTGTTGCGAAAGACTCAGGTTTAGAAGCCGAAAACACTTGTGTCTGCCTGGAATCAGGTCCAGAAGGACCTGGCGGAGGCACAGCGGAGCTTTGGTCTCAAGGGGACACGTCAGGGGCGGGCCGCTGCCTGGTTTGGCATTGCTGTCCTGGTCGCGGACGCAGCTCAGCGATCGGTGTTGCAGATCGCAGGCCTTGCAGCGACGGATGAGGTGCTGCTTGCGTCGCTGGAGTTTAGGCCGAGCAATGTGTTGAAGGAGGATGGCCAGCGAGACTACCAGGTCCTCTGCGTGCGCCTTCATCAGTTGGGGCCGAATCAGTTGGCTGTGACGGAGCGAGTGCACAGAGGTTGTTGGTGGCCTCATGAAGTTGCAGTTGGCCTTGTTCCATGCTGTACATAGTGACTCCGATGGCTTGTTCAAGATTAGAAGACGTCGAGGGCTTCCCTAAACCCCAGACCCTAAACCCTAGCCGTTGGTTCTGGAAGACAAAGGTTGTCAGGAAGGGTTATATATATATATATATGGACACCATATATATATATACATATATACATATATACATATACACACATATATATATATGTGCTCCCCCAGATCTACGTCTGCAGGTTTCCAAAGTCTGGATTTTCTGATTTCTTGCTTTCTCAGAAATCTGGAATCTGGAAACCTGGACTATGTTTTTACTTTGTTATCGCGACTCTGGAATCTAGAAACTTAGGGCGTGCGAATCTGGAAATCTGGAATCTGGAAACGTAGGTGGTGCAAATTTGGAAATCTGGAATGTCTAGAAACTTGGGGAGTGCAAATCTGGAAATCTGGAATCTGGAATCCTGGGGCCTGTCAATCCTTTATAGAATGGCCTATAGACTACCATCCGGAATACCCTGTAGTAGAATATCTTACGGAAGACCGCCTATGTAATAATTGTAGCTTGTGGGTATGGGATCCCCATAAAGAGAATCAGGAACCAAGAAAAATGGCTTTACAACTACCTTATACAATACCCCCCTCTGTAGTTTCATCTACCCTAAAGAATACCATCGTAAATGTCGGCTACAGTCTGCCTTTTGTACAATACCTCATGGAATACCCTATAAACTATTTTATATAGTGCCCTATAGAATACCATCTGGAATACCGTGTAGTACAATACCTTACAGAAACCGCCTATGTAATATGCCTTCTGTATACTGTAAATATACCTCAAAGATTATCCTCTAGAATACCTTTTAGGATGCTCTTCAGAGTACTTTGTAAGATGCCCTTATAGACAACGATTTATATCAGGAAAATCGGAGGGAGCCCACCGCTTTTGGGCAGGGTGCAGCAGTGTGACATGTGAGCATGCGCGAGCGCAGCTTTCAATCGCCGAAAGAGATACACAGTGCCCGTGATGTAAGGTCACAGTTTTTTCACAACCGAAAAACGCAAAAAAACACGAGGTTTTTAAATACCGCAACAAATTATGCGCAATACCTTCCAACAGTTTCGGCTTTCCGAATACATGAACTGGTATTTTCGTTGGCCGAAATTCGGCTGCAGATTTGTCGATGTGTCGGCACAAGATGCTTCGCAGCATGGTTGTATGTATTCGAGGATACAAGCGATAACACCGATATTTACGGTGTTTCTCCCCCCCCCCCCCCCCCTCGCTCTGCCCTTGCTGCTGCGCGGATTGGGGGAGCCGCACTTCCCCCCCGCCACCCCCTACCCACCCCTGCCCTATGCAGAAAGCGGCAATCTGCGCAGTAGTTTCCCACATCCGACATGAACGACAATGCCTAATTAATTAGTTCAGAGGGTTGTATGGCCATGGTGATGCTGGCAACTATTCTTTTTATGATAGTGATGATGAAAATGACGACGACCATGATGATGTTGAACATGATGTGAAGGATGATCCGATTGTCGACTCACGTCGCCGTCTAAAGCACAAAATCATGAGCAGTATCACCGGTGCCACGGTAAGAAGGAAGATTAAGAGTAGTTGTAACTGTAGTTGAGTCACTAACCGTGACAAGAAGTGCTTGTGTTAGACGTGTTGCATATTCCAATTCAGGCCAACCAAAGCCTCAGCTAAGGGGGGTGCAGACCCCACCACAACAACGAAACCAAAGAAGTGGGGATGCGGCGGGGAAGGGGGAAGGGTACCACCACAGGCCCCACCCCGCAGGTGGGGCAGGGGGGCGGATACCCTGGGTGGGGGGGGGGGCGCTCGGCAGCCCTGCATCACACACATATAAATACGTGCATATGTATATCGTTTATATAAATAGAGTTAACCCATAGCTAAATCGATAGCAACAAACATAGAAATATTGATAGATGGATAGATGGATTGATGGATGGATGGGTGGATGGATGCATGGATGGATGGATGGATGCATGGATGGATGGATGGATGGATGGATGGATGCATGGATGGATGGATGGATGGATGGATGGATGGATGGATGGACAGATAAATAGATGTACCCTTGTAACTTATATCTATTCATGCATATATATATATGCATATCTAGATACATGTACATAGATACACATATACCTACGTATTTCCAGTTGTACACACAGTGCAACACGGGCGCGGTGTAACACGGTTGCAGTCGTTTGAAACTTGTCGCTTGGATTACGGTTTACTTAAATGGAAACGAATAGTTCGAAGCAGTTGCTATAAATTATACATTTTCATTATTGAAAGCAAGGCCGCCAGAAATTCATGCAAAATGTAAAATGCATGCTCAATTTATGGTGTCTTGAGGGTTTAGGTTTTAGGGTTTAAGGTTTTAATGCATGGGAAGGACCTCGGTCCCAGCATTAATTTCCGGGCGGTTTGCAAGCGGTGATAAAATGCACGGGAAGCACGGCAGAAAGGCTGCAAAAGGCAGGGAGACTCCTGGGAGCCCAGCAGAAATGCTGTAAAAACCAAGGGAGTCCACTTCCACACGCTTTGGCGTGTGCACACGACCAAGTCATTTTGAAGCTTCTTGTCCAAGCAGTGTACGCTCTTCGCAGGCAGTCTGCACAAACGCCTCCCTACAGTAGTGCTGGATTCGTGACAAAGGCGGCCAAAGCTTCGTTATTCGTTCTTGATTCCAACAAGCCGACCAACGAGGTCGAAAGCATTAGCTCGTTCAGAAATTACACAACGACGCTGATTGCACTGATCCCATCGGATTCCGAAGCCCTTGCCTCAACGCATCGGCCCTTTGGGAAGTGAGAATTCTTGCACCCGGTACGTCGTTTGATGCCAACTTGGGTGACTGAAACGCAGCCTGGTACTGCAAGATCGTGCAGGCCCTGAATCCCTACTACGCCGCTGGGGCCGGGTCCAAGGTCGGACATGAGCAGGGATGCCAAGCCTGCACAGGGTTAGATCGGGCTGCACCATCCCGTTTCTGGAAGGATGCACCTTCGAAGGAAATCTTGGAGGAGCTGGGCAGCCTTGACAACGGATTCGCCGTGTTGAAGGCAAGAGCCGGAGACTGCAAAACCGACGGGGAGCTGCATCTTGGCGCCATGCAGGCAGCGATCGCAATCCTGAATCGCCACTACCCTGGCATCATTGGCAAAGTATTCTACCTCAACAGTGTGCTGGCCCTAGGTGCTTCAGAAACTTTGTTCGTGGCAGAAGACTGGGGAACTGCCCTGACATCCTGCCCAGGACATGGTTTTCTGGGGGGCATTCAAAATCTTCTCCCGCTGGATCGCTGATCGTGGACACATTGAGTTCAAATTTCTGGGTCGCTCAGCCGCATAGTCTTTGCATTTATCTCTGCTGAATGGTGCTTTCTCTGGATCACAACCGCGGCACGCGCAAGATACGTAATTGCACGCTCATTGTGGCAGTCAGTACATGCCAGAAGATGGGCACACAATGGACAAATGAATCTGGAGATCGTTTTGGAAGACTCGTTTGGAAAATGGAGGCCTTCCGCAGGAGAAGTGTGAGCATTCACCGATCGCTTGAACAGTTTAATTTAGGGGCTGGACGCCACCACCTGCTCGCCCTGTGTGCTGCTGTTTGGTTACAATGGCACTGATCAAAGTTGGAGGGCTCGAAAAGGCTTTCGAGGGAGCGTTTCGGTTGATGCGTGTAGAAGATTTCGGTTCAGTATGTGAAGCTCAAATAGTTGTGTACTCGTACAAAAAGCAAAGCTTTCGCTTGTGAGGAGTTCCTGTGTTTGTGCCTCGATTCTCTTTCAAAAAGTGTCTCAGCTTTGCCGCGCGAGCCTTCGAGCAAACATTGCCAAGTTGAGCCTTCCTCGCCTTCGCAATCACAATCGAATTTTCCACAGACCGTCGCAAGTGTCATCACGTGTGTGTGTGTGTATATATATATATGCATATGTATATGTATATGCATATTATGTATATGTATATGTATATGTATATGTATATGTATATGTATATACACCTACATATATATATATGTAGAGATGGGGTTTTATGAGTTCGACAGTGTATGCAGATTATTTGTTATGTTCAGCTTGTATATTTTTTGTATATGCATGCCCGAACAGACATGCACATACACGCTCCTGATCATGTGAACCTCCCAGAAGCAAGTCTCAAAACACGTCGAATGGTCAGATCGGAACGGTTCCACTGCCGAGACGCGTGCGTAAGAGAGTCCGATTCTGTGTCGCTGATTGTTGCAGGTCCACACGGGTGGCGGGAGGAGCCAATTTCCAGGCTGGAGGGTCGGAGAGAAGCCGACGTGGCCAACATGCAACAGGGATCCTGGTGGTAACCTTTCTTCAGCCACGCCTGCAGTTTCGGTTGAACGACGCTGAGTGTTTTTGCATGCCCCGCCTTGTAGGCTCTTGGACACCTTCGCCCCGGAGCAGCTCTTCGAAGAGCACCTTGACAATAGCGCAGCTACGTGTGGGGTCATCGCAGTCAGATCAACAGGTTTACTCATTGTGTTCTCTGTGTGGACTGCCTGCAACGTACGTGCGCGCCCGCAACTAACCGATGCTTTCGGAGCTGCCGCCTTCGCGGCTTTGAGCTTTCACATGCAAATACTACTGTTGGAAGAAGCGAGTCTTGCCACAATAGGCCAGAAAGGTCGGGCCTCCGCATGACGTCATGGGACCCTTCCTTTTTCATCGCACGAAAGTGGCTTATGAATCTTATGAGATTGATGAGTTTAATTTCGTTTCTTACGTTTCCAGGTTGTATGCCAGGCACGGCCCACTGGGATAGGCGTTGTCAGGCTCGGGCGGAGCAAATCTCAGAAGTCACTTCTGTGAGCCTCTCAGCCTCTCTACAAAATCTAGAAGAAACAGCGTCGTGTACTGCGTGTGTGCAGCGACGGCGTTCGCTTAGTAGGTGGGGCGGCACCGGGCCTCAGCTCAACGGCGACGAGTTCTTGGCTCGGGCGATCGAGCGCCCCCCCGTCAGCACTGTGCATGCTGACTGTGCATGCAGGTGTAGTGCCACATTCCACCCGAAGTAACTTCTTCGCTTGAAGATGCAGCATGCTGTTGGCTCTGCTGTTGCAATCTCAGGCTATGAGAACGAAGCGGCTGCGCAAGAGTTGGTAGCGGCTTCTTGAAGCACCAAAGTGTCCAGGCATGCAGCATTCGTCTTGCCTCATGACAAAGCATGTGGACATGTTAGTGTTTGTGGTGACGCATGGCAACCGGGCGAGCAGGACGTCCGCTTGCAGCAGAGCATTCTGAACCGCTTTGCCTCCTGCACAGATGCTTGACAACCAAACTGTGGGATCTTGTCCCATGTGCTTTGTGCAAGCTAGTGTACCGGTACAATTTTGAGGCCGGTGTTTTCCATGCAGTGGACTCCGGCTATCTTCTACTTGGATGTGTGTGTAGCATAACATCCTAATCCACGCAGAATGCGTGCGGTACAGCCTATAGTGCTAGCCACACTCAAGGGACGGACCTGCTCCAGTGTCAAGATTCCAAGGCTTGTGCTCGAATTCCTTGAATGTGCCTCTCAATTTTTCCGTGTCGAGGGCGATTCGCTGAAGCTTCTCTGTTATCCAGCGTTGCTGTCGCCACATAATTTTCGGCAGGATGTGGCCTGGAAACCTCTGGAGTGTGCCACATGCGAATGCGAACAAGTGGAATCATTAGAAGTTGCGCACGGTTTTCAGTCCGCATCACATCCACAGTGTATAGGGTTAGACGAGTCTTGCGTGGCGAGTGTTCTCTGCCTGAGATTTTCTCTGAGGGTCAGAACATTCTCGCTCCAGCCACCACAAAAGCAGTTTCGAAATCACCTCTCATTTACTATTTGCATCAAGATTCACAAGAGCCGCCACGTCTGTTGCCTGCAGGCAGCATGGCAGCTGTTCCCTGCTCTGATGCGAACCTTGCTTATGTGTTGGCATGGTGCATTGCAAGGTCAGTGGTCTCTCGCTACGTGGAGAATCCGCTGCTCATCCAAGGGTTGAAGTTTGATCTGCGAGTGTACGCAGCCCAGATGCAAGTTTGCTTCAGAGGGTTAGTGTCGATTTTTTATCGTGGTGCTTCGACTCGTTCACTGAAGGCTTTTTCTGGCTCGAGCCTGTGCTAGGGTGGCCGGTGAGCCCTTGATTCAGCGTAGCCACAGGCCGGAATTGGAAAGTGTACGCTTTGTAGCAAAAGCCGAGATTCTGATTCTTCAAGATCTCATAGCGGTGCCAGAGTGCCGCCATCGAGCAAGACTACGTGACAAGAAAGCATCTTTTTGCATTGGTAGGTGATGGTGAGGTGGGGTCCAGTGGAATATCACCATGTGGAGGCCTGGTTTCGTTCGCCTAGTTCGTGACAGTCCATGAGTAGATTGATCTGTGTTCTCTGAATGCTCGAGGCCTTCGAGGGTGCATGGCATCCGGACCCTGAAGATGTGGTGATCAACATTGTTCCGGAGGATTCTTGGTTGCCATGGTTAGTACCTCCATTGTCAAGCATGGCAGCATATCTCCAACCTGAACTATCCCCTCCCCTCCTCAGGTCGTTCCTCAACCTGCAGCAACCATCGCTGAGGCTGCCGAGATGCGTTCACGTAGCTCATGAGCAGTTTGTTGAGGGTTGGGCTTTCAGTACTACTGTGGTGCGATTGTGAAGGAATGATTGACCATGTCAGCCTGTTCTTGTCGCGTTTCGCCTGTCTTAACCTGCCTCTCGTCTCTGGACAGTCCTAAAGTCAGCTGATTCTAGTCATGGTGATCGAGGATGGTTAGCAGGATGCAGGGTGAGGATGATGCGATATGATCCGGCTGCATGAGGATGAGAGCGTGGATGTTGAGGTTGGTGATGAGGATGACAATGAAGATGAGGGTCAGGGTCGCGTCCAGAGTGGCGGCGACGGCGATGATGATGATGCCGTTGATCATGTTGAAGATGAGGCTGCGCATGATGAGACTGGTCATGATGTGCTTGATGATCGACGACGACGACGACGATGTTCCTCCGATAATGTTGAGGTTGTTGCTGATAATGCTTCTGTTGATGCTGAGTTTCTATGCGATTGCTCATGGGGCCTTGGCATCGGTGCTCTTGAGCTGTTGTGTGCAACGATATCGATGATGTTGCTGTAGACCCCCAGTTCAAAGATGCGTGAAGTATATAATCGTTAAACGCAAGTCAGAAACAGCATAGCCCCAACAAGAAAGCATCGCCGGACCAAACCGATAGATGGCTCCGGCAGCCAGATGCGGATTGCACCAAGCCGATGGCACGCGAACCGCGATGGATAAAAGTGTTGCTCCAAAGATTCAGCCCGTAGTTTATGTTATGCACAACGTTCAAGTTGTGTCATGGCTGGAGCTGCTGGGCTCAACTTGCTTCGCCAAGAGGGTTGTTGGAGTAGCACCTCGCCAGGAATTGCACCGGTACTTGTACACGCATCCAAACCAGCACCAGCGCCATCACCATCACCAGTTTTCGCATTGCAATTCAGGAAGTTAGGTTGACCGAGTTTGGACTGCTCTCCACTGCCTGCACAGCTGTCATACAAGCGACCACTGTTCCGCTTCGATTTTTGTGCCTCGTTGCGCTGCTGCAGGTGGATGTGGCTGACGCAAAGCCACCAACAAGACCGTCACAAGCATGTGGCATCACAATGTATTCCGTCTGGGACATTCTCCTGGTCCACATGTGTGCAGGCAGGACATGGCCGCACGTGGCACAGGGATGGAGAATGGCATCAAAGCAATGGCGGTGATCCCTAGGCATCCTATATTCGTATCTCTCAAAGAAGCTACGACCGCAGTGGTCCCGTCAGTAAGTGAGTGCAAGTTCGTGAGTCTAATCCATGCTCTCCTGCAGTCCTGCAGGTTCGAAAGGACAGCCAGGCAAAAGATGCCGACATGTGGAAGAAGATCTGGCAGAAATCGGCTGCGTCTTTTAGGCGTGCCGTCAATTCCCGGCTTGGGCAAGGGCTATGAAGGAGTTGAGGTGCCAAACCTCGCAGGGAAGCTAGGGTGGGTAGCTCTTGGAGATTTTTTTGTCCAGCAACTCCACTGGGTTTTGCCTCGCTGCCGATTGTGCCAGCAATCCGACAGTCAGCGAAGGCATCCGACGTTCATCAATTCAGTCGACAAGACTCTCGGCTTATTTGGCTTATTTATTGAGCTGACTACACTGTCTCTCTAGTGCTAGTTTGCACCGAGCCGGAAGACATTACTTGTCTTTCCTGAGTGTTTTGGTGCAGATTCTTGAACACATCCGAAGGCCTCAAATCGAGTCTGCTTGAGGTTGGCGTGGCGTCGAGGCTGACATTGTGTAGTTCCTTTGGTGTTGGGCTCTTGCTTGCTAGGACTAGCGGATGTGGAGACATGTCGTGCGTCGATGATCAGTTGTGTGTTTTTCACAGTGACAGTTGATCGAGGCAGCGCGGACAGCGTCTGATCAAGACCGAGTCCTGACGCCTGGACACCTCTTCCTCACCGGTCGGTTGGCTGTGCAATCAGCACGAAGCGGCAGGTTTTTCGTGCCAGTTGGCTTGGCTGAAGCAGGTCCTGAAAGTACGATTGCGGTGGGTAGTCAGCCATATGATGTCAGATGTAGCAAATTGGGCTTTCTTAGTATGTCGTCTCTGCAAATGTACGGCTGCGGCCGGCGCCTGGGGAATCGCCTGCAACCTTGAAAGTTTCTTTCACGAGAAGTCTTCACATTATCGGAAGATGAGGTGTGGGTAGGAACTAGAACAAACGTGTTTTCGGCCTCGGTTGTGTGGGCTGACCATTTAGGGTCTACATGGGGCCTAGAGGGTTCGGGTTCATGGCTGAGGCGGATGATTAGGGTATGACTTGGGTGATTCGCTTTCAGGCCTGAAGTCAGGCAGCAAACTTGCAGACTTTGCCCTGTATGCTTCGCAAGTGTTTCAAGTGCCATGGCCAAGCAAATCTCTGTACGTGTGCATTGCATGGAGCTTTACATTCTCCCAAACAGGCTACACATGTGTCCAAAGTCCCGCAATAATTTGTCCCTTCTTGCTTTGGCTCGGGCTTTCAATGTCCAGGCCTCGTGGCGCAAGGATGGTGTTTATTCAACTGCATTGCAGCTGCACTGAATCTGCCCAAGTCTGGGGCTTGGTGCACTTTGGTAAGTCATGCTGTCACAATGGCAGTCTCTTTAAAAATTGAGGAGGGCCAACAGAAGGCACCATAGTTACTGGCCACACAAACAGACAAATGCCAACCTGCCTGCCTTCCTCAAGACTTGTTTGAATTGTGGACCGCCATGCGCCCCAGATGTTGTGGGTCATGCAGTCTTCACTATGACACAGTTCCAAATAGTTTCAACTGAACGTTCTTTTCCGAAAGAGCAGTTACAAGTTGACAAGTCTTTTGCTTTGGGCGCGAGACGCCCTCAAGGCGAATGACGAGAGACCGAGGTTCAGACACCGGAGAAATTCAAAAGAACTCGGAGTGGCCTGTAACTTCAATTAAGTATTCCAAGCCCTTCATGCCACTTGGGAGTCACTGTGCCCATGAGGTACGTGCTTGCCGTCTCCTGAGTTCTTCGAGACACTTAGATGAGTAAAGCTTGGAGCAATCCAGCTGGAGCTCGCTTGAAAGGGCCCTTCAGCATCGCCCTGGCCGTGGGTGTGCAGGTCACCAGCTACGAGCCCTTGCGAGCTTACATCTACAGAGAAGGTTCGCTGCTGACATGGCTGAACAACTTTGCTGTGTTGCCTCTTGGACTAAGTAAAACATCATCAGTTTTGGAAGGCCTGGTGCGCTTTGCTTCCAAGCCGTATAGCAAAGACCCGAAGCATTTAACAGCCTGAACCTCAGACCATGAGACGGCCGCATACGCAGCAAAGCCAAGCCAGAGTCCGACCGTCACAGGATGCCTACCGTCATTTGACCAACTATTCGATCAACAAGGTCCGTGCATGGATAAGGGATCCTGCAAGGGGAGTTCTTCTGCAATTTCGATGCCATCGGAACTGCGAGGGATCTTCCAGCTTTGTGGAGAACTCCGAGGTTCAGGCTCGCTGTCGCGAACTTCTGAATGTCACGTAGACTTGGCTTCCCAGTCAAACATGTCATCTTGGCTGCTACAGGGGGATCGGTCTGATGCTGTTACTTCGGTTAATTGTCAGGATTGCATCCCGTTCGTTGCAGGCCGACAATGTCGGCCACAAGTGGAGCATATCGGCGCTGAACAAGCACCTAAGGCAGCCGACTGTGCTGTTGCGAGACTGTTGTCCAGCAGCAAGTTCTTGTTTCTGCAGGTGTATTGGGGTAGATGCTGAGCTTATGTGGACCCGCATCATGGCGAAATGCTCAATTGCAGCCGAGAATGCGCGAAGTGAGGGCGCAGTCCATTTTCTGAGCTTGTGACAAAGGATGCCATTGTGAAGTCTCTTCTGTCTGTGGGGGCCTCAGTTCTGCGAGAGTGTCCCTTCATCCTTCAATCAACCTCATGGAAACGGAGGATGGAAGCCATGCAGGGACTGGTGCCGCCCGTTTCGGCTGAAACGGTAGACCATATGTCCCAGATTGTCCCCAAGTTTCGCAGCAATTTTTCCTCACAAGTATTGCGCTGGTCTAAGTCCAGATAGGCGAGATTTTGGACCCATTGTTTTTGATCTGTGTTCCGAGCGCATCTCGGGGTAGACACGAAGCGGGGCTGCCCGATACGCGAGGTGTGAGACGGCATCACGCGCTGCATGGCACAGCGGGGTTGCACATGCGACAGCCGAGCTCCTCCGCCGTTTTGGCGTGACGCAGGGGCACATGCAGCTGGGAGGGATCGTGCAAGCGCGGTGTCACCACGAGACACGTGCAAACGATTGGCGAAGCAAGGCACCGTGCACCCGTAATTGAAGTCATTCTATACATAAGGACTGACGTCACTGACGTCAATCGTTTGCTAACGTTTCGCTCGTTTTTTGGTTCCTTGTGCAGAGTCTAAGCAAGGAAAGTTTAACAACACTTTGCAAAATGGAAGCTGGTCACGAGTGACAGGACGCATTTGGCAGTCTGCCGGTAGTGCCTCTCCACAACTTGCTTCGCATTTCCAAGGTGGAGCCAGTGATCGGGGCCCGAACAAAAGCCACCGCAAATTACAGTCTGTTGCCCAGCTGCCCTCGGGAATCGCCGTTCTTGCCAGATATAGCACCACTGCTTTGCACCACGGGCTTCATTGCTCAGGCCACAACTGCTTTGAGCCCGCAGCCCATAGAAACTTTTGGAAGAAGGACTGTAGTCGGGTTTCTGCGAGCTTAGCTGTGATGAGGCTGTATGGCTTCGACGTGTTAGTCGATCAGGACTTGAAGTTGTGGGCTCGTTTCTGCATGCTGGAGCTGTGATGCTTGGAGTCGGCATTTCGGATGCTCAGGCCGTGGCTCTTGGAGGTCAACCTCAGTCCCAGCATGCAGGCCACAGCGGCAGTCAAGTGCCCATCGGACAGCCTGGAAAGTCTTGAGCGGACAAGTCCTAGAGCCAAAGCTGCAGAACCGTTTACGGAGCTGTTGGGTGGGAATTTGCAACGACCGGTGCGTGTGAATCCAAACCCCGAAAGGAACTGTCGGCTGAAACACGGCAGCACTAAACCCCTTGGAAAAGATGGGGAGAGAACCGCAGAGGGAGATGTCGGCGAGCAAATCCGATGCTTTAAAGGAGATGTTCGGGTGGGAAGCCCGCAACCCTACGGGACACACGGTGCAGGAGTCTCCTCAGGAGTGCATGTGCTGCGAGCCTGCAGTGGAGACGCATCGATAGTTCTTTGGGCAGTTCTTGGTTCACGGCAGGTTCCGGCCATACCTCGTGTTAAGGCACCCGGAAAATCGGGAAGCCTTAGCTGTTCATGTGAGGCGGATTCTCCACTGGACTGGCAGATCAAGAGCTCCCTTCTGTCAGACTCCTTCAATCTCGTGAGCGGCCTACTGCAACCCAGTGAGAGTTACTAGTAGGTGCAATGGAAAGTATCGGAACCCCGGTTGCAATGCCTCAAAGGTGGGCATCAACAAGGTGACCAAGCAGCGACTAGCAGAAGCGACAAGAGCAAAGTCCAAGGTTCGCATGGGTTTGCTGACGCAGTTCTTTTTGTGCTGTGTACGGCGCCGCGGAGGTTGTCAAAGTGCCTGGTAAGCCACCAGGCAGGCAGCGTGCGAGAAGCCCAAGTATGCTGATAAAGATCCCAGAGAAGATGCCCGAATCACCGTGAACATTCGCACAGGACCCCCCGAACGCAGGAGGCGCCATCGCGTGTCTGGCTATCAGCTGAGTTGTTCAAAGCAGTCACGTGTCACACAGCCCCACTCGGCCGATCCAATGACACATCTGACGAACGGCAATGTGCAAATCGGTGCTACGATCCTGTTCGAGGACGAGAGATCATCGTGTGAAACATGTGAGCAAAGCAAGTGCATCACAAAATGCCTGGTCCACGTTGCAATCGACACATGCGATTATACGACTCTGAACTGCAGGCACTTCCAGCATGAAGGAAGCCGTAGGAACTCGAATGCAGCCTGCAAAACATGCTGAACTGCTCGTGAACGCTGAAGTAGCTATGAAATGCCACGACTTTGTGTGCATTCAGCTAAGAACGCTGACGAACAGCTTCTGTTGAAGGGGTGGCCAAACAGTGCCGGAGTTCAGTTATTGGCTCTGTTAATCATTCCACCCGCTTGGAAGCAAAGTAGATATTGTGCGTGGTGTTCGCTGATGTCCGTTCTTGGGGGTGTCCACGGCTTCTTTCCCACTGCTCCGTAAACCGGTCATCTGCCTGAGGTTGGTGTTTGAGGATTGGTTTGGGGCAGACAGAGCACCACTTTGCTGCAACATCCGGACAGCTTCCGTTTCTGCATCCCGAGTTCTGGGTAAGTCCAGGTCTGAGTGTTTGCCAGCTCAGGGCGATCTGTCCTTCGGCATCAAGAATGTGAAATAGAAGACGAGCAGGCTCGCAGCATAAAGTGCAGGATGGTGCAGGTGTGTACTGTGGAAGCAAGATCACAGTCCATGCAATGTTGCGGCCTGTGAGGACTGTGAGGACTTGCCGTCTGTGCCTTTGGGCACGTTCTGGGGCTCAGAGGAGTTGCTGTGTCCAAATGATCCAAATGACTTGCGTTCTTGAACTTGCATGCCGCATTCAGCGGCTGTAGGTTGGATGTCGAGGAGCTGCGGAGCACTGCATGGGCCCCGATGGTCGTCTTTCCTGCAGGTTCACGACGATTTCGATCAGTTACATCATCGCATATCTTCGATCATCTTCGTGTTTTGATTTCCGACTCGATGTTTCTTGCTGTTGGCACGTGACAGGTTTGCGTTTCGGTTTCGACTTATTCCACCGAGGCGAATGCCTTGCTTGAGTGCACCCGCAATCGGAACTTCATCCGGCTGTATCCTACACGTAAAGCGGTGCGACATTATGCCGGGGCGCCAGTTGCTGGAGCTCTAGCCCGGTTTCTGCCGGCTGTTCTACCCAAGCATGCCACAGATGCCACAGCCTCCAGAGAAGTCTGAAAATTCTGTCGCTTCGCAAGACATCTGGCACGAACTGCATAAGGCCGTCATTGTCGACAGCCAAGAGGCCATGAAGCCTGCGGCCCAGGGAGAAGCTTTGGAGCTCTCCAACTCTTCACGCGAGAGACGAGGCCTTGGCCACGTGGTCGAAAGCCGGTCGTCGAGAAACTCACCGCTTCCCAAGTCTTGGCACGGAGCCGAGAGCGGAACAGCGGAACAGCGGAGCGGAGCCGGAACGCATCGCGGCACTTCAAGGCTTCTTTGCTATTCGGGCCTCCGCCAAGCCACGCAAAGACTCTAACGTGTCGGCCGCGGTCCAGAGCGATTCTATGCCATCGCCTTAAGACTCATCTCGCAGTCTTTCGCACAGAGCACGACCTTCTCTCGCTTCCAACATGTGATGTAGACAGGCTGCAGTCGCTCCGTACGGCGTCGCGAGTGCTGCGCTCAGGTCTTGTGACTCTACTTCTCTCTCCCGCTCTCTCTTTCTCTCTCCCTCCTCTGGGCAGTCAGGCACAGATACGATGCCATGGGAGAGGACGGGGGAGAAGAAGCTTCAAACATTGAGGTGCCAAGTTCGCCAAAGTAAGATAAAGTCCATCACAAGTGCAAAGCGCAAGCCATGGAACAGGCTCCACCGGCCTTGAGAAGCCAATCGATGCCCCGGGCACGGGCGAGGAAGGTTTTGGACCCCAGAGGGCGGGAGAGTTCGCAGGTAAGAGTCTGAGGACACCAGAGGCAAGCTGCAGGATTATTCTAGATGTCGCAGTTGTCAAGGACAGAAACCGTCAGAGAATTTGGACCATGTCGAGGAGTTTCCACACAGCTTGCTGTCCTCTGCGTCGCAGAGTGAGGTCTCGCGACGCCATGTGGTCGTAATGAAGCGCAGCCCTGCCGAGGCTGAGATGCAGCAAGGTAGCTTTCAAGTTCGTCGCACGAATCGAGACTGAAGTTCTGGGGTGCACATTCCGAAGGCCAATCCCAGATTTCCATCTCCATAATGATCATGCAAAGCATAGCAGGAACCAGCCCTTGACCATCCTCAACTAGTTACTTTTGGGACACGGCGTCTCAAGAACAAGCGGCCAATAATGTTCGACCGCTGCCGATCGGGGCCCACAGAAACAGCAAATTATATTCGTACAGATCTCAGCGCTTGCCCGGGGCTGGGCAGCCGGAGTGAACATCGCACGACAGGGATCACAATGCAAGTTTTATAGCATTATTTGCGCGCGCGCTTGCGCGGCCGGTCACCGGCTATGGGGCGCACACGGCAGACGGTCCTCTGGACTACTATTACTACTTAATTACTACTACTGCTTCTACTATTACTACCACCAATTACTACCACTACTACTACGACGACGACGACTACTACTACTAGTACTAGGGTACATGTGTTCAAGTGCTTGGCAGGCCTACTTCCGGACTTTCAGCACAGGGAGCAACTAACGGAATGCGTCTGAGACGTGGTAGAACGGCAATGAGCAGCCGCGCAAGTCCTCGAGCTCGGCAGTCTCTTGGCTCAGCTGCTCCTGGATGTAAGCCGCGACGCCTGCAAACTCCACCGACCCCGAGCAGCTGACGTCAACTTGGCTGTAATCCTCGATGTCATCCTGAGACGGAAACGCGCCCACACGCTCCAGCGACTCCGAAGTGTGCTCCTCCATGTCATCCACAGACAACGACGAAGGCTCCTCCACGGAATCCCCGTCATCACTGCAGTCATCCCCCTCAGCTTCAAGGCATCGACAACGTCGCTTCTCCTCTGTCGTCAGTGGGGACAGGAAGATGTCGTCGATGCCAGCTGCGCCACGAGTCTGCAGGCGACGCCCTGCCGGAGAACGAGAGCGAGCCGGCTCCGCTTCAAGATTCAAGTGGGGCGGTTGTCCGTACCACGCGCGCAGGAGTTTGCAGCTGCACCTTGTGCAAGAATGGTGCCACGCCAGCTGTTCCACCGCTGCGCAGCCTTTTGGCCTCGAGGCCTGCAGAAGAGCCAAAGTGAACCGCACTTCCGTCAATGGTCGGAGGCGATCAAAGGTTTGAGAGCAAAGTGGCGTCTTTGAAAAAAATGCTGCACCGATGCAACATGCTTGGCCCAAGCAGCTCCAAAGCCTCTCGTTGCCACATCGACGGGCTTAGCTCTCGGTTTTTTCAGGAGCATTTGGGGCTCGAGAAAGTAGCCGCCGCAGTGGTGGCGTATCAGACCTTGTACCAAGACACGGTCTCACCGAAGGATCTCTGGGAACAAACCTCCTTCTTGCATGCTGAGGCACCCTGAAAACGCGAAAGTGGGCCAAGCGAGTTTGCTGCGCCTGCCAGCACTTGCTGTACCTGCCTGTTCAGAACTGCGCAGTTCCGTGACGAATTTTCCCGAAGCCACAAACAACGATTAGCTGCATCCTGCCATGTCCCCTGGCACATTCCAACACCATAGTGCGGGCAAACGCCCAAGTACTAGTACTAGTACTAGTACTAGTACTAGTACTAGTGCTAGTGCTAGTGCTAGTGCTAGTGCTAGTGCTAATACTAGTACTAGTACTCGTACTCGTA